TAAACAACAAAAAAACTCGAAACAATTACCGCACATGGAAGATATTGCATTCTTCCCAGTCTCTAATCTAGTAATCAACTAGTTTCTTTAGTTTTGGTGGCGCAGATATGACAATGCGGTTTCTATTAGTATTAGCACTGCTGCCACTGCTTGTGGCAGTCTCCTGTCTGTAGCATTGAGCATCGCGTTGATGCCGATGTTTGTCTCTATCTCTTTCCCTATCACGATCCCTGTCGCGTTCACGTTCACGTTCGCGCTCACGATCCCTATTCCTATCCCTATCACGGTCACGATAACTTTCTCTAGGCCGTGGTTCATTTCTTGAACGTGAACGCCTGCCGCGATCACGATCGCGATCTCTATCTATGTCCCTCTCACGCTCCCGCTCACGTTCACGTTCATCGTAACGTTGAGTGCGTTGATGACGTGACGCGCGTTCACGGCTGGTGTCACGCTGCCAACGAGAACGTGATGCACTTCGTCGCCGACGTCTCGAAGCGCTACGACGATTACGCGAACGGGAACGAGAGCGCCGTTTAGAGCCTGCTGATCGCTGCGATTGATAGTAAGACTGGCTGCGACTGCGTGAACGATGCGCACGCTCCCGACTACTACTACGATGTAGGGATCTATGTTGGTGATGAGTTACTGTTGAATGATGCTGCTCTTCCGCCTTGTCATCATTCCCACGGCCCGTGCTATGTTGATGACTTTGTGTTAGTTTCTTTTCTGTGGCAGGCGCGCTAATGGTTTCACTACTTCTCGACGTGCTGCGCCGTTGCGCTGTGGGTTGCGCGGATTTTAATGCTCCCGAAGCATCACTATCAGAACCCTTGCCACTTGATGGGGTGCCGTAGCGATGGCGCAGTTCGCGTTGCCTGTAATGCACCAATAAGAAAAACTAAATCAGTAAATCAAGCAGGAATGCAGTTAAACACGTTTACAAGTAACCATCTCATTATCATATTTTACCTTCGTCTCAGTTTGAGTGCCATTTCGCGCATTTCATCCTCGCGCTCCTGTTGCAGTTGCCTTTCACGTTGCCATTTCTCGATTTCAGCACGTTTGTCCGCTTTGTCTACAAGTGGTGAGAAACAAAGGATAAATATGTTTTGTCGCTACAGTACAGACATATATGTATACATAAGTATGTATGTATGTGTATTTGCTAAGAGGTTTATGAAGTTGCTTGAATTGATTAGTACTTACATTGCTTGTTGAGCAAATTTTGCATTTTGCGTTTCAGTCGTTCGCGCAAATTCAAACGACTGCTGCTTTGCGGCGTCGACAAGGACGAGCTCTGGAAAAAATCACTTTAGATGTTCAACAAAAGCGTAACCAGTTTTCACACATAAAACTATGAAAGCTACTAGTTATGGTCAACGTCCTCTTGCTAACAAAGCCGTTACAAATTGTTGGTTTTTTCAGTAATTTATATGTACGTCGTAAAAAAGCATAGTATAGCGCGGCATAAATTATCATTTAGCAGAAAAAATATGTTATCTCCCTCGATTTCACAAACAGGATTAAGGACTTAAAAAAACAATATATATATATATATATATATATATATATATATA